GATGCAGAGAAGAGAGGAGAATGCTGCACAGGCTCTCCTGAGCTGTGTGGGATGGGAGGCCTGACATCATTTCTCCGGGGCTAAAAGGGGTAGATGCATCACCCCCGTCTCCTCCAGCCCACAGGGAATGGGATGCGCAAACTGATTTCAACTGATTTCACTCCCAGCAGTGGTGCTCTGGCCCAGCATCACCTATTTTTTCCTTTCACATCCCTCACATCATCCCCCTCTGAGCCAGAGCCCAGAAACAGCCGTCAAGAGCTGCTGACACAGGGAAGTTTTCTTGCAAGCCAAATCCAATAATGTGAAAACAAGTTAATTATTTAACTCCTTTCAGGGGTGACTTGCTCTTAAACTTCGAAGTCTGGGCATCTTCTAGAAGGAGTGAATTCGACCCCGAGAGCACCCAGCTCCAAGCATAGGAATGCTGGGCTTTGCCCTTGGATGGGTGACACATGAGTTCGGCACATATGGAGGGTATAACTCCCACAGAGAGACCAGACCCTGCCTAGACATCAGCCCAAAGCACGGAGCAGAATTTGCGGTTTGGAGCTGGGGGCGAAGCTGATTCCCCCAGGCTGGTGCAGCAGCTCCCCATCCTGGTCCCCTGCTGCCACCTGGTGCCACCTCGCTACAAGTGCTAGCAAAATGGGGTGCTGAAATTTGGGATGCCACGGGTGTCGTGGCTGGGGACCGCATGGGCACAGAAGTGCCCATGAGGTCCTCATCCACAACATCTGTGATCCCAAACAGCCTCACTTGTCCTCCAGCCTTCACCTGGATCTGCAAACAGGCCAGTGACCTCTCTCCTGCCTACACGGTCAAATGCAGGACTCCAAATATTTCACAACCACCTGGACACCACTAAGGGTTATTTATGCTAAGGCAAATATGTTCCAGGTATTGGATCTGGAGGTGGTCCCCACAGCATCCCAGAACTGCTTGGGAACGGAAATGCAAAGCACCTAGAAACTGTCAGAGTGGTCAATAACAATAATTACTCTTGTTACTCCAAGTCAATTTTCTTTTGCATTAGGGCAACAGGCCCCAGTGGCAAAAAGAGCAATAAAAACTATTTCTTTAGTATGGTTTTTGCTAAGCAAAATTCTGTCATTCCCACTGGAAAAATAAAGAAACTCAAGATTAACTCAACCTGCAAGGTGGCTGCAAAATATGCAGCAAAATTCTTCTCAGTAGTTACCAGTGATTCCCTGTGGAAGTGGAAGGAGGCACACTGTTTTTGCCAGCTCCATCAGTGCCTCAGTAATTGAGCTGGAGGCCAGGGTGCTTAATGAACACACAGCTGATATCACTCCAAGGGGATGTGCCAAGAGGCTGGGGTAGGATACAGACGATCTTGGCAAATAGACCAAAAAAGTGTGGGCAAAGAAAGGAAGATGTGGTTCTGGAAAGACTTATGCAGTATCCTGCTTCCAGGTACGAATAACCAGTGTTCAAAGGCAGGCTGGAGATCAAGGTTCCAGGAAAGGGTGAATCACAGGTTGAGCCACGTCATTTGGGGGGGGGGGAATGTTATTGTTACTATTTATTTATTTTAAACCAAGCTGACCGGGGGTGTTTGCTCTTAAAACACTCATGAAGCCAGAAAAGTCTAAGCTCAGAGCTTGTACCCTCCAGGTACAGGAGCAGCTGGCAGAGCCTGCAGGATTCTACTCTGGATGCAGAAAGTCTGCGAACACGCAAGAGGGAGCTGCAGGGAGCTGTGAAGAGGCTCCCAGCATCCGATGGGAACAGGAGAAGTAATAAGCTTGAATTTCAGCAGAGTTTCAGGCTACTCGTTAGGATGCCCTCTGAGCGCATGTCCAAGACCAGGGGGGACATTCAGAACTCATGCAGGAGATGATCTAGGGATGACCTGGATGGCCTCTCAAGGTTTCTGCCAGCCCTGCATTACTACTATCACATGAAATGGCTGTGGAGCACCACAGGCTGCTCCTTCAGGACACAGACTAACCTGCTTCTTGAGCTCCCCCGGCTTTCCCAATGCTTGGGTGGCAAAGGCAGAGGCCATGGCAGACCTGAGTGATGCCTCCCCTGTAGCTGCACGTGCCTGTGCCTTCAGAGGACCCTGCGTTACCCACCCAGGAATGCAGGACACCTGCACAGAGGTGGTCCAGAGCCTGGGCCAAGGGAATGCTCTGCAAACCCAAGGGGAAGCACAAATCCCAGTTCTGTTACTGGAAACCTGCCCTCTCACCCAATGCTCCCGTCCAGCTTTTCCTGGAATGCAAGAAAGCAAATAAACTCAACAGAGCCGCACCCCAGGGCTGTGCGTGGGTCCTGCTCTCTAGAGCGAAACAGGTTTCTGGGAAAGAGTGGGGTTCAGAGAGGGGTGTGAGGGCACTGTCTGCTGAGCACCTGGCTTCAGGCAACAGCCAGAGCCCTTGTCAGACCACCCTGCTCGCAGCTATTTGCTGGGCTTAAAAAAAATTGATGAAAAAGGCTTGTGTCAGAAAGGTCTCTTCAGCCTGCTGGCTGAAATAAACCACCAAGTGAAATTTTGTTTCACCCAAAAGGCACACCTCAAGTGCCCAGGAACAGCTGCCCCCAGCTCTGTCCCACCACAGACCTGGAAGCTCAGCAGCAAGACAGCTTGCTCAGAGGCATTTTTAGATTTATTTCAAGCCAGCCCTGTTGTGTTTTGCAGCCTCTCTTCAGGATACAGCAAAATAGCCTTAGCAAGACTCACAACAACCAAGGAGCCTGTCGGCTGAACACAAAGTTTCTCTTTAAAAAGGGAAAATCGAGGTTTGCTCTGCACGTGTGGAGCTATGGTCAGAGGCAGCAGACAGGCAGCGCTGTCGGGCTGGGAATGGCAGGGAGAAGCCACCGAGCACTAGTAGCTCAGCGAGTATTTAATGAATAATCCCAAACCACCCCCAAGTTTCCTGTTCGGAAAAGGGCCTCCCAGAAGGAAAAACAACCAAAACCCGTCCCCCCACCAGATCCTGTATGTTTTTCTTGCATTTGCTGCAAGTCTCAGCTGGAGGGTCCTGGCAGGACACCCTCATCACAACACAAGGCAGCCACAGGCATCATGTGCCTCCACCACTGCATGGACATGGGTGGGGGGCTGTGGTGCCCCCCCCAGTGGGTGAGAGGGACCATGCTCCAGGGCACTCCTATCCAGGCTTCCACAGGAAAAATAGTGTGTCCAAGAGGATTGTGAAACGCATTGAGTCAAGGGAAGGCTCAGCTGGTTGATGAGCTGCCAGGGTGAGGGACACCCACGGCAGCACCCAAACCATTGTACCAGACACCCTGAGCATCACTCTGCCTGTCAGAGGATGCTCTGTGCAGGGCTGTGCTGGTGAAACCCTCCCACAAGGCAGCAAATGCTGTTATTCTCCTTTGCTGGAAAAAAAAAAGGAAAACGATGCTTCTCCACTGCAGACAGGCATGTGTCTATAACTGTGTGGAGCAGGACCCAGCCCAGGTTTCCCTGAGTGTCCATGTTTCAAGGACACCACATTTTCCCCTTTGGCAGTAGCTGGGCACACACCAAGTATCACCCTCTCACCAGCTCTGTCCCTCCTGCTTCCACTGAGAGTCAGGAGCAGGTACCACCACAGACCGGGATGTTCAGCAGCCAAACAGCTTGCTCAGAGTGATTTTTATCTCTATTTCAAGCCAGCCCTGTTGTGTTTTACAGCCTCTTTTCAGGATACAGTGAAACAGCCTTAGCAAGACCCATAACAACCAAGGGCTGACTCCTTAGTCAGCTTTCATGTGAACCTTTACCTCCATGAGCCTCATAACCCAGTCCAGCCCAGCCCCAGCCCAGCCCTGGTTTATTCTCGTGATTATAAGGAAAACAATACTTATAAATTGTGCAACAAAGTAAAAGGACACCTCCTCCCTCCCACCTTGCCAGGATGCTCAGGCTATGTGCAGGAGCCCAGGCTCACCACAACTGAGATCCAACTATTTCCTTGTGGTTCCTCCAGTTCTGCCCTCAGGCCACCCAAACCCACCAGGAGGAGCAGGAGCTTCTGCCCTTTCCCAAGCACAGTCCAGACACACAGCTTTACCTGTAGGGTGGCCAGGGCTCACTGGAGGCTCAGTACCAAGGGGGCAGCAGCTGAAAACAGGGGAGCAGCCCTTGCGTGGTGTGGAGACTTTCTGGCTCCCAGCAGGAAGGAAGGGTTAATGGGAACAGCAGCCAGGTGTGTTTGTAGGTGCAGGCAGCTTCCCTCCCTGCCTCTCCTCAGTGGGCTCAGCTGCTGCTGTGGGGCCACCCTGGGCACAGACATGGCCAGAGCCAGAATGAACAGCAGCTGCCCTTAACTGTGCAGCTGGAGTGAGCTTCAGATCAGTAGCCAGAGCCCCCTCTCATACAGCCCCCTCTCCTCTGGGGGAGAGAAGCTCCCTCACACCCCTGCGCTGTGGTCATTAATAGGGTCACCTTGACCTGTGCATCACTGCAGCAGTGGAGCAGTGGCAGGGCAGGGGAATGAGGTGCCAGGAGGATGCTCCCCAGTCCTCCCTGCAGCTCCTCCATCAAAAAAGCAGCTGCTGGGCCTTGAGAGGCCCCCAGGGAAAAGGAGAAACACAAATACATTTGCCGGGATGTTGATGTCAGGCTATCACTAGCACAGTGTATGAATTCAGTAAGACTTGTAATTACAGCTGAATTTGGTATTTAACACGCTTGCAAGAGTTTTAAGAGGAATCTTGGTGCTTAAAACCCAGCTACCCTGCCCCTTGAGGTTTTATTTTCCTTCCTGAGCGTTTGTCGCTATCTCGTCTCAATAAAAAGAAAAAAAGAAAATTGGTATTGTCTTTGAAGAGATGAGACTTGAGCCTCCCCACTCTTCACCATCTCTCTTTCTGTTACCAAATATTCCTTGAGCCAAAACCTTCATCTCCCAGAAATGTGTGGAGGAAAGAAGCAGCAGAGCAAGGCCCCTGTGCCGTGTATCATCCCACATCACAACCCCCTTCCTCCTCCAAGGAAAAAATAGTCATGGCACTGTGGACTCCTTAAATCACTAGATTTTAATAGCCATATAAATCCTTTGCATACAGCAATCTGTGGCATGAGAAACCATATAGATACCCAACAAGTTTTTCTGGCTTTCACCACATAAAACTATCATCAATTTTTTTTTTTTTAAATCAACTCCTGTAGTAGAAACAATAACCAAGCAATTAACAGCAAATTTCTAATTTTCTAAAAGAACAGTGTTTCTTCTCTTAAAAAGAGCAGAGAAGCTGGCGAGGAGTCTCAGATGTATGTACAGATGGGGGTACCTCGGGAAGCTGTCAGCACCGCAAGCCTGCGCACCCAGTCTGGGGGGGCTAGAGCAGCACCTGCTGTCAACCCCCCAGGAGGGCTGGGGGTGACCCAGGGGTGACAGCCACCTGCTGCTTTGCCTTTGAGGGCACCACGCACTGCCTTGCCCTCCAGCACCCACCAGTCCTGCCCGCGGCCGGGACCAGTGCCCTGCCCCTGCGGTAGGCAGTGAGGGACCGCACCTGGAGAGTTGCCTGTTTCTACCTATAATTTCACTTGATCAGGAGTCATAATCATCAAAAGCACACTGTACCTTTCCACACCACTACCCAGCACCTCGGGGGCGAGCTGACTCCGTCCTCGCTGCCCAGCGAGCCCAGGAGCCCACATCCCCTGCAGCAGCCACACACGCAGCCCGCTCCCACCCCTCACGCCTCTCTTGGTGACATTGGCTTTTGCAGAATTCACAGAATTCATAAAGAAAATCGTTATTTACATCAAGGTGTTCAGCAGCACGATGTGATAGAGGAATTGAGACAAGAATTCGCCCGTGGGCTTATTGCTGACTCGGGCCCAGGGACTGAATCACCCCGGGCTGTTTCCATTCCTCTGGTTCACACAGCGGTGGCAAAGCTGCCGTCTGCACCCCGTTTCCACTGGCTATGTTCATCCTCAGGGAGAACCATCCCTGGGCAAGGCGGGCTGCGCGCGGACGCCGCACCCTGGGCAACATTAAGGCATTTACATGTACACAGGAGCTATTCAGGGATTTAGAAAAACCCACTCGGAGTGTAAACATTTTTGCACATACAGTCATTGGACTTCCACACGTGAAGTTTTCTGTTGTTTTCTGCATAAATCACGAGTTAAGGAGCTACACAGAGAGCACTCAAGCAGACGCCTGGAGCACTGGGGGGCTCTCTTACAGCACAGCAGCATGCAACACGACGGACTCTAAGGAGTAGAAATACTGTAAGTCTCAGTCCAGGATGCTCCCTCCTTCCTACACTTCATATATAGTTTAGGTAAATGTCATGGATAACTACGTGCTGGTAACCCGGGTAAGATGGGCGGCTGTGTGAGGAGCGCTGGGTGATTTCAGCTCATTTCTACTTTAAGTAGAAAAGGGAAATACTCTGCTTCCATTTCTGTATCTATGGAGGTTGCTCAATGACCCCTAGGTCACTGTGCCAGTGGTGCTATAGGTTTAGGTATCAGTGATTCTGCCTTCCTCAGGGACTTTGGCACATTGACTCCGATTTGTACAAGATCCCTGAGAACTTATCAAATCTGCAGTACTTTACAATTTAACAGACCCGGCGTGGGCATTCAGCTCCCTGCCATGCTCACGCCTGCTTCTTGTTGTTGTCTATGCTGTGCAGCAGCGCCAGGAACTCCAGGATGAGGTTGGCTGTCTTGCGGGGACGCTCCACCACCACTGAGTGCCCACAGTTCTCCAGGATGTACACGTGGCAGTCCGGGATGGCATTTGCTAAAACACTGGCGCCAGAAACATCCAGGACCTGGATGGCAGGGGAAAAACAGTCAGAGCTGGGGTTTGCTGGACACCATAGAAACCCTGCTGGAGCTGCCTTTGCAAGTCCAATTAAGATGCCGAGCAGAGATGCAGACACAGTCCTTGTGATGCCAGCACCCTGCCTGGGGACAGGGAAAGGAGACTGCTTGGTGCCAGTCTCAGCATGCAGCAGGGAACTCTCTTGGATGTTTTTTGGCTGTCAGCTCAGTGCAAATGGATCACTGCAAGCAAGCGCATCCCTGCATTTATAGAGCCCTTTGCATGCCTGCAGCTTGCTTTCTCCCACTTCTTCCCTCCCACTCCTGCCTCCAAAACCAACCCTACAACTTTGTCTTGAAGCCTGCCCACAAACAGCACATCTCTTCCCAGTTGCCAGGACAACTCTCTTTGCTGACACTTTATTCCTCTTCCCAGCTTCGGTGCTGGCAACTACCCACCCACCTGCCCCCCTGCCCTCCCCAGCCCTGGCTCTGCCATTTCCCCTCTCTAAGAAGCTGACTGTCAGCTTTCTGCCCATCACCCTGCCAAGCCCCCATGCCCAAAGCCACCAGGGACAGGGACACACAGTGCCAGCTCCCCGCAGAGCAGTGCACAGCTCGGCAGCACAGCCCCTGTGGGAGGGCACAGGCAGAGATGGAGACATGGTCCATGGGGGATGAGGAGGGGGCTGCATACCTGGTCCTGCTTTCCCCAGATGACCTGCGTTGGTGCTTTGATCTTGCTCATGTTCTCATGGAGAGAGTGCCTGGACTTTTCATCCGCAATTTCTAAAAACACTAGTGGGGCAAGAGGAGAGTCAGTCCTACATGAGAGATGTTTTGCCTCCCGTTCTCAAAGGGGCCCCTGTGAGCCAGTTCTGCCAGTGTTCCCTCACTGGGAAACCCATGCAATGGTGACGAGCTGTCCTTGCCCTGCCACCAAGCCCAGCTGCAGGGGGCTCCTCCACCAAACCATCTCCTCATCGGTACTGTTAACCCAGATGGGACAGTGAGGTGAACCAGTGACTCCATCACCCGTGGGGGTGGCAGTGGGGGTGGCAGCGCGTTGCTACCAGCGACCAAGGCGTGTCCCCAAATCTGTTAATGGTGTCGCTCCCTCCCACCCTCAGCAAGGCAGCAGAGGGGTGCTGGGGCCGGGCAGCGTGCAGGGGACATGGGGGCAGAGGACAGCCCATCCCCACACCCTGGGGAGCCCGCTGGAAAGCCTGGTGAGGAGGTGCTGCCATGCACTTACGTTTCCGGTAAAATTCATTGTGTGGAATGCGAACATCAACGAGGCCCTGGAGGATCTGCAGGAAGAGCAGAGGAATGCTGCTAGAGGGGACACGTGCCTCACACAGGGCTAAGCATGCCCGAGAGCACCTCAGAGCAGCCCCTGACACCCCAACATGCCCTGCACAAGCCTGGCCCCAGCATGAGCTTCTTCCTAAGCATGTGGGACTGTTGAAACCACACTTAAGCAACATGTATTTCAGCAACAAGTAATTCTGTCTTCTATGATACAGACCCAATTTCTCCCCCTGGCAAGCAGCCATCTCAGCCATGACTGCACTTTTCTTCTTTCTTGTATTCTTTTGCCAAAACCCCAAAAGAATACACTTATATTTTTTTCTTACTCTCCAATCTACTCATCCCAGACTTCCTAAGGAAACCAAGCCTAATAGCCAGCCCCTTGCCAAGTTCCTCTCACCTGACAATGAGGCAATTAACATTTCCATGGCTTTTACTTAAAAAGCAGCAAACAATCCCCCTCCACTCCGGACAACAGCTGCCTTAGTTATTTAATGCTTCCTGACAACCATATTTACTAAAAAACCCTTCTACATCCCAGCCTGCTGCCAAAACCTTCATGGGAGGAGGAATTCCAGTGGGTGCTGCCAGAGGGAGCTCAGAAAAGTGGGTTTGAAGGGAAAGTGCTGGAAAGGTGCTGGGGGTGGGGCCAGGGGTGTCTCCTCTGGGTGATGGCAGGGATGGCAGCTCCAGTTCCACTCCCCACACCACCATGTAGGCTCAGGGGGAAGCAAACCCACTCATCACCTACAAGCCCCCTTTCCCCACCAACCACAGCATCAGATTCTCACCTGCTGTGGCACCTTGAAGCGAACGTAGGAGCAAAGCTTCAGCATATCCGCCATCTCCTCGGGCGTTGAGGGGATTAAAGGGATCCTGTCAATGCGTTTGGACTCCTGCAGCTCCCGGAGCTGCTTAATGAACTTGCTGTCGGTGGTACTTGGCAGGCCTGGGTGAAATGAGAAGGGGGGCATGAGCTGAAACCCAGATGAGACTCCCCAACAGCCCAAGCAACAAAATATCCCTGCACTGACCTCCCTCATCCCTGCCTCTGGCTTCCTGCCTGCTCACTCATTAAAAAAAAATATAAAAAAGTGGGGAAGAAAATATCTGTTCATTCAGCAACCTCAGTATGCACCCAGAGATACCCTAACCTCCCTCCTGCTCCAGGGACCCCCAACCCCAAAGGCTGACACAACAGAAGGTGTATTCCCTGTAGACATGCAGGAATACTTCAGTAAAAGCTATAGCACCTATTTTTATGTGGTCAGCAGATACAAACACTAATGCCTAGGCTGCCATTGCACAGCGTTGGACAGAAAATTTCAGCAGCCCCATCTGCATGCACCACTGAGGGAAAAATCCCCTGGCAACAATCCCACACAGAGGGAGCTGTGCTGCAGCCCCCACACAGAGGTTTCACATGAAGAAACAGTCGGAGAGTCAGTTGACACCTCTCCCAGAGGGGAGTAGGAACCCTGACGCCCCCAGAGCCCGGTTACTAGGTAACGTTTGCTTTGCTTCATTCCTTAGTTCTTATTTGGAAGCTGCTTTCCTGGCGTGGGAGAGGAAGGAGCTGCTGTAACAACTGGGATGCAGCAAAGCCCTCCCCAGCAGAGAAGTTCCCTGCCCCCAGTGCCTCCTGCAGCATGTCATGCCCAGGCTCCCCTGAGCCCCCTGTCCAGAGGATGGTGGGGAGGAAGGGGATGGTGGGAATGGGGGGGATGGCAGGAATGGGGGGGATGACGGGGTGCTGTGCAGGCACAGGGACACCTCGCTGACCTGTGCCCAGCACTGATGCACTTTTCCCACTCACAGAACCCAAAGGTGGGAAGTCAGAGTTCTCCAGCTCCCAAAGAACCAGTCCTCCAGCACACCAGGGCTTTCAGGAGGCCAGGCTGGGAAGGCTTTTCCTGTTGCAGTCTCAGTTCCCTCTCCAGAACTGAGAAGCTGCAGACATGCCATGTAAAATACCTGCCATCCCAAGGGAAAAGGCATTTTCCTGCAGAGCAGGACTTGTCCTGTTTGCCCTAGTCTCATCTCTAACCAAGGCACAGTGGGGCAAACGCCAAACCCCTGAAAAAGAGCAGCAAGTACAAGGCTGTGATTTTCTACCATGCCCTGCCAGAGATTTCCAAACTGAAAATACAAATTATTTCAAAATGCTTTGCACTAAACCCCTCTTCTACCTCCAGCACTGCCCTGGGTTTTTGCACTGGCTCCTGATTGCCCTCCCTGTCTCACCTCCCCTGCCTTGCCCACCTGCAGGACAGATTAGGGTCAGGCTGCAAATGTCTTCTGGGTACTGAGCAGCATAGACACCGGCAACATTTCCCCCCATGGAAGTGCCAACCAGATGAAAGGGCCTTCTGTTCAGCCTGATGCACTCCACGAACTGGCAGGGAGCAGAAGGAGCATTGTTAGGGGAGAGGAAACAACAGCGTGGGGTCATTAGAGAAATTCTACTCAAAAGCTTGAGGCTGGTGGCTCTGGCTGCCTGGGAAGGGGGGCAGCGGGGCCGTACAAGGCAGGACTCACAGGGCTTAGCATCCCTCACGTCCCCACCTCCATCACGTCCCCCACGTCCCCACATTCCTCTGCAGAGGCAATGCAATGCTAGGGCTTTACCTGGTGTATTCTCTTAGCTTGCCCACTGATGGAGTAATCATCCAAGTCTGAGCGGGTTGTGCCCTCGTGCCCGGGCATGTCCACACACACCAAGTGCAGGTTCTTTGGCAGGAACTGCAGAAACAAGCCAGGGATGGTTATGGTGCAGGGAAACCGCTGCAAAGCCCAGGGGTGGAAAGTGGTGACCACAGGTGGGAGCAGGGGGGGTTGCTCCCCTCCTAGCAGCCCCAGTTACTTGTGCACCAGAGTAAGTCAGCTCATGTACCAGGGATGACATGATGAGAAAGCACAGCCAAGACTTGCTTCCCAAGGAGGAAGCAGGTATGTACTGCTCTTCCCCTGCAGCTCTGCATGTCGTAGGGATGAAGGGATCCAACAAGCAATGAGCATGGAGTAAGGAGGGTGTTCCTAGTACATTACCACAATCATCCCATCCCATGCAACCGTTGGGTCCCCACACTGCCCCCAAAACCAGGGCCATCAATTCTCACTAAGGAGCAACATGATAGAAATGGAGTCCCACCTTGACTATGGACAGCCACATGTCTTTGTGGGCCGAGAACCCATGTAGCATCAGGATGGATGGTCGGTATCCAGGTCTTCCTCTATAGGAATAACAAAACTGATAGTCATCGTAGTTTGCATATCTAACCTGCATGCCCAAGGCTCGGCGCCAGTACCTGGAAAAGAGGAGAAAACACCAGTGAGCGAGACAAGACCAGGGCCCAGCCACGATATAAGCCAGGTGACAATCCAAACACAGCCACAGATGGCTTGCTAAGGCCAGTTAGGTTGGGTTCACGCTGGTGCCATCATGGGACTACTGGGATTAATCCTGAATATCTGGTCCCTGGACCAGATCCTGTGCATACATGCGATCCCTTACAGGTGTAGTACTAGTGGCTGGCTATTCGTGGATGCACTGCAAGTGGCTTGTGCATGTAAAGAATTTTTAAAAAGGCCCTAACTCAGTTGGCAATGGAAATGGGCCAAAATGACAATCTTAAAACTCAAAACACCCAAAGATTGGTCTGAGAAGAGAGACTCCAGGGAAGGGCAGCACATACGGCGAGGCAGCGTGCAGGGTGGGCAGGCCAAGGGAGGCAGTTCTTCTAGGTGGGTAAGGTGAATCTGTCACAGAGTTATTTGGACACAATCCTGCATTGTTGGGAAAACATCAGCCCACAGACAAGCACACCAGCCAAAATCACCACGTCACCTGGGAGCACCAGCCAGAGAGAACCTGATTCCTATGGACCAGTTAAATAACACTTAGAAATATATTAATATACACACAAAGGACCGGAGGGGACCATCCTTATACAGGGTCTAGCACCCTAGGAGATACCAGGCTAACCCCAGGGCTGTTCCTCTGAAAGCAGAGGCAGACAGCTCCTGCCAGCACACTCTTGCAGCTCAGAGGATGCAGTGAAACTGCCAGCCAGAAGGACCTGGACAGAGATTATCGGTGACACTTTGGACACATGATGTGTACGTGCGGCCCAAGACAGAGAGCAGGCTCTCTTTCTCTGCATTTCCCCTATGCTCAAACATAACCCTTGTCAGGACAACTACTGGGCTACTCCTGGTGGTCAAGACACTGGAAAATATATGTTGTGCCAGAATTTATTTAAGACACAAGCACAAGGTCACCAACGCTTCTGGACTGTCCTACCTCTCAGCCCACTCAAAGCTTATGCATAGTGAAATCCTCTTTTAGCATAATCCCTTTCTCGAGGGAGCTAGTAGGACTTAAGCAGCATCTTGGCTCAGTGCTGGTCCTACAAGGAGAGGTGAATTTCTCCCTAATAAGTGTCTTAAGAGTCCTTGCCTCAAAAGCACTGGCGTGAACTACCGATGGGCAAGATGATAACATTTTTAGCAACTGATCCTAATGGATCAATTCAGCAGAAGGCAAAATAATCTGTGCAAAGCTGAACTGATCCCCCAACAAGGTGTTAACTCGCTTAGTGGCAGTGGCTAAACTGATTAACCCCTGTCACAGTGCAGGCAGAGTGGCTCCAGGCCAGGTCAGTGGGGCAGCCCTGGACATCATGCCAGGGAAGGAGGCGCATTAGCAGCAGGGAAAGCAGTGAGACCAGGGGTGAGGGGGCCCAGTCTGACCCTTGACTGCTCCGGCTGAGGACACTGCAGACCAACAGCGAGGAGGAGGAGGGGACAGGGAACTGTGGGAGAAGGGAAAAGCATCCCCTGGGACCTTCCAGGGATCTCCCAGGAGCAGCGCAGCAGAGCTGGAGCTGCATGGGGCTGGAAGGGGAGGGCAGTATGGCATGCTGCCTGCCCCTCTCCTGCCTCTGCTGATGGGGAAAATCAACGATTTCACCCCAAAAAAAGCCAACTCAGAAGGAAGCCAATAAGAAAGGAAGAGTAAAGAGCAAATCCACCCTTCTCGCCCAGTGTCCCTAACAAAAGAGGTGCTCATGACATACAGGGCATTGCAGTTACTCCTGCAAGATGCCCATACTGCCAGAAGTGTTGGGAGAGAGAGAGATAGGGGCACTATACCCTTCAAAAGAAGACAGCCCTTCTGATCCCTGCTCACACACTCCCTCCTTCAGCCAAACACAGACCATCTTGCCCACAGTGCATTTTCACCCGGTTCCTGATCTGTAACCCAAAAAGAACAAAAGCAGCAGAGGATTCTCTACCTCCCTCTCACCCCGGCTCCTCCAAGCTCCCAGCGTCAGTCCCTGCACCTCCTTTGCCCTGTCCTGCCACTCCTGTTTGTGGCCATAGAAGGCTTTGCCCTGACCACAGGGCAGGTCTGCTGCAGCAGTTTCTCCAGCGATCTTCCTTGGAATCTCAGCCCATCAGGGTCCACCCTGGCTTCCAGCAGCTGCTCATATATCCAAAGAGAAAAACCACTTTGACTGCCAAACCTGATACCACTTGGACATCTGTGACACAGAAGGCTGTCACACCACCTGCTCTCCTTTGCAGAGCAACAATCCCATTCCTGGGGTTTTCATTCCATGCCCTGTCCTCTCTCAGCCTCAGATGCTGTGAATAAAAGCCTGCTAATTAAAGTGCCATTAGAAACAGGCTTCATCCGAGTGCTGCGGTGGGCAAACATCTTCCTTTCACAGGAGGTCACTTGGATTTGGGAACACCCCATGAGCTGAACTGCAGAAGCCACCATCTGCCAGCAGCATGTGAGGACAGCCTGATGCGCTGCCTGTTCTGCCTATTCTGCCCACTCTGCCTGCTGCTGCCTGCTCCATGCTGGGTGATGAGACTCTGCCTTGACTTCTGAAGGGAGTTATTCCAGCTTTTCCCTGCAACAAACCCAGAGAGGAAAGCTGCCAGAGTGCTTATCACTGATTTCCAGGGACAAAGGAGGACTGAAGGACGTAGTGCCTGCTTCCTGGTAATCAGAAAGGATAACATGCAAGGGTGTAAGGAAAAGCATCGTCCCACCTTCTCTGATGCTCCATTCCAGAAGAAGAGGAGAGGATCAGAAAAGCCTTGTCTGTAACTACTTATGAGAGAAAAGCCCTTGCCTGCTGAGCAGGGAGGGAGCATGTGAGCACAGGGACACCCACGCCATGGCCACATTGATGAGGTGGGAGGTCACCAGACTGCCAGGGCTGCCAGGCTGGGGCACAGGCAACAGTGGCTGTGCTTTTTTCAGCTACAGTCCTGTCCTTAGGGGAAACAACCCAGAAAGGTTTGGAGAGATCCTGCATGCTAGCACTGCAGTGGCAGCCTGGCCAAGAGCCCCTTGACACGGTCCAGCCAAAGCCCTGGGACAGCAAGGGCCAGAGCAGCCCTGCCAGACGTAAGCCTCAGCAGCAAAAATGCAATAAGAAAACATCATTTTCTTCTTACAGAGATGCTTAAAGCTACACCCAGCAACGTCCACCTCCACACACACCACTGTGCATGGCTGTGGGGCCCTGCTGGGAACAGGAGCCATTCCACCCCTGTGCCACACAGAGAGCAGCCGGGCTCAGGAACTCACCAGTAGTAGATGCGGATGAGTGCTGAGGGCCACAGGAGGAACGAGGCCACGAAGGCCAGGATGGGGATAGCCAGGGTGCCACCGGCGATGACAAACATGTTCAGCACATCCAGGTCCATGCTGCTCTTCACCACCCAGCCTCACCTGCCTGTGTTTAGGGAAGGATCAGAGAGGTTAGCCCCCAGAAACGATGACAGGTCAATGCGAAATGAGAACTCTGCTGCCAGGGGAAGAGGAAAGCGGCTCTGCAAGAGGCAGAGGATACTGCTTAGGAGTACAGCAAAGTCTTCTTAAGTTTTAAAACCCAATTATTTCTTCTGGCTCTTTAATGGATCTAATTATTGCAATGTTATCCTCTCAGGAGAGCACATCTCAAAAGGGCAATGAGCCTCCTAACAGGCATGGAACAAGGTGACAGGTAACAATATGGCCCTTGGGACACTTTGCAGACACAGGAAGCACAGCCCTCCGATGGGTGCAGGCAGCCTTTCCCCCCACCATGAGTGCAGGCAGCCTTTTCCCCCACCATGAGTGCAGGCAGGGCTGGCTTAAGGCAGGCTCCACATTTTTTTTGGAGACAGGCGTCCAGCTCCTTCTCCCCTCCCCCTGCCCAATCCCAAATCCCCAGCACACAACCACTGACCTAGAATTGATAGGTTGAGCCCAGCTCTCGTTATCGCTCTGCACAGACACCAACTAATCAAGGAAGCAGAGCCTATTAATGTGCTCGGAAACTGAAGGAAACAACTTGGCAGGACACTCTTTGGTGACCAACCCTTATCTGAGACAAATTTATCCCCATCCCCACCCCCACATCCTTGCTTCTGCCCCACATTCTGCACTTGATGTGGATTACAGATGCCTATCCCAGCTCCCCAGCATCCTTCAGGCAAATATCAGGGACAGCAGGCAGAGGACACTGGGTGCAAGGGCGAGCTCCCACACAATGCCATGCTTGTCCCTGAACTCTCCCCACCGCAGGCAGCTGGGATATATTTTTCTCATTAAGAGATTAAACGCTGCCACACACTCATCTCCTCTAATTCCCCCTGCTAACCAACTCGTGGCTCGCTCTTTCCTCGGCACTTCTGTACCACATTGATAAAGCAAAACATCCTCAACGCCTGCTTTCCCACCCCCCATCACCACCCCCACGTTTCTCTCTGCCAGGACAGGCAGATTTATCCCTGCTTCCTGCAAAACTCCCGGTGGTATGTGGCATGTTATGTCATGAAACAGGAAGAGAATCACTACAGTCACAGCCTCCCGCCCCCAGACACCGTCACACTGGACCTCATCGAACCCTCACGTTACACTCGACCAAGAGAAACGGGTTACAGAACCTCTGAAGCATCAGCCAGATTTGCCCTCTTCCCCCAGGGAAAATAGGAATAACTGAAATTCGAGGAAGACTGTAAATATTTCCACACCAGTCACTTCCTTAACAAAGCTAAACCTCACTTCCGTCTTCAAACCACCACAACACGCCGTTATTCGCTTAATTAACATTTTGAAGAAAGATCCTTGATCTCAGCACGGCTTATTCATAAATAAACACTTCGTGCAACCGATAAACTTGTCCGTGGGAGCAGGGCTGCCGGGGAGCCCACCCCTGAGCGCTCGCTGCCTTTCGCTACATCACTAAAACAAGCCAGAAATTAAGCACAGAAAATCGCCATTGTTCCCAGTGGTGACCAGTAACGAGAGAAGGCAGCAGGCAGGAAAAGCGGGGGCGGTGGGAATCCCTGTGCTCCTGGCGCGGGGTCGCCACCTCTGCCTCCACCTCCACCTCCACCACCGCTTTTAGAAAGCAACACAAGAAGCCGACAACCTTTAAAAAGCCCGGCTTACCTTGCAGAGTTCCCCTCCTCCTCTCGGCACAAGTCCTGCTCGCTGTGGGCAGCGGCAGTGTCTGAACAAACTGTCAGAAGAGGGAAAAAAAACAAGGTCAAAATCGCAGTCCTGCTTTTTCTCCGCCCTTCAGGCTCGGCAGCCCGGCGAGTTCGGGGTATTTAAGTCGCCGGCTTCCCTTCGAGACGCCTCATATTCACCTTCTGACTAACCTTTCTCCCATTTATGTAATGGGGGATACGATAAAGCCAGTCGAGTGCACTTGTGCCAAGCAGGAGCAAAGTGCAGGCGGCCATCGGGGAGGAAGCAGGGCCGGGGCGGTGCGGCGGGGAGGGCCAGGGCTGCGCGGACCCGGCGGCGTGGGCTCATGGTCGCCCTTCAGGTGATTACTGCTATTAGAACAAAGCCAGCTAAGCAGCTTCTCTTCCCCTTCCTCTTCGTCTTAGAGGTACTTTTCCAAGCACCCTCCGTGCCCCCCCTTCCCTGTGCGAGACTGGCTGAAGCGCAGCGCAGCCGCAGGAAATTACTGGAGAGGCAGGAAAAATGCTGGCCTGAACTGGCAGGCAGATTTTGGCCCTGGAAATTCACGGTGGAGGATCAGTGGGAGCACCGGAGCCACCCAGCCCGAGAGCCAGAAAACCCCTGAGAGATGCCCCCCTCCCTGCCACGGCCACAGGGCCAGGGGCATCCCGAGGGGCTCCCGTCCCCACCGAGCCGGAGCATTTCGGCAGACACCGCTCACCACGTGAGCCCCTGCGCCCAGTGCCGGCCCCGCGCACCCAGCGAGCCCCGCTCGGGGCCCCTGCTGGCCACGGGTGCCCGGGGGCGAGGATGCTGCTGAGCCTCCTTCCGCGTGGGCAGAGCATCGCCACTGATCTCCATGGCTACCTCCGATGGAGGCAGCGGGAACGAAAATGCCAGCAGGCTCAGCTATGCACTCGGGGGCAGCCACACCGTCACCACAGCCCCCAGCAACCCCAGCCCCATAAAGCCACCTCTGCACCGAGCAGTGCCAGCCCCCCGCGACGGTGCTGTGCCCAGGGGATGATCACCGTTCGTGCTGCACCGGTCCTTTGCTACCAGCTAGAGACACTGTGGACTTAAAAATAAAGGCGAGCTCCCTGGTAACAGCTGGAAGCCTTCAGATCACAGCTCATCCATCACCTTGAGGTGCCCTGTGACCAAGAGTCACAGCAAGTGGCCTCGAGTGTTGCTACCGCTTCTCAGAAGGATCTCCACGTATTTCGTAAATTACTTTGCAAACATCAATTAGGCAACTCTGATAAATGACATATGATCATTGCAGTAATAGATCACCTGGTGATAATGTCAAGTGTGTTGTGCACCTGGCAGGGCACGGGATGCCAAACCAGGAGCACTGGTTCCCACACTGGCAGCCGAATGACAATCACTAACCTCTGCAGCCTTCAATCTGGGAGGACTCCCCAAAAAAGGCACCCCAGGTAATGGGGTGGTCCTGGGACAGATGCTAAGGGGAGGCTCTACATCTCCACTTACTTCCTACCCTGTGCCAAATTCAAACAGGAGCCTCATCACCTGCAAACAGAGGGGCCAGCAGGAGGGGGCTGTGGGTCGCATGTTGGCGACAGTCCCCAGGGCCATGGGACAAAAGTATTTTTTCCTCTTTCGAGCTCAGTGGATCATACCAGGGAGGCTGGAGAAGACCCAATAGTGCAGCTCAGGTGTATCTATTGATTTTTTCCAAGCCCCACATAAGATGCAGAAGCAGCAGCACAAAAACCATCCCAAGGTGGAGGTGCTGGGTTGGAAGAGGAGAGTGGCAGCCCTGAGCAAGGCCAGGGAGGGATTTCACAGCACAGGAATGACACGTGTGCCCTCACTGACCAGACATGCCAACATTCAAGCACAAAGGTTGTCCTGGGCTGTGCTCATTGGGACTGCCCTGCACCCAGGGTTTTACTTACCCCACCTGCACCCAGAGCAGTCTGTGTCTGATCGACAACAGAGTTAAATCGCCGAATAGCTGAAATCTAAGCAGCACATTTAGGTATATGTTAATTTTTCTTTTAAGATCTGAAAAGGAAAAAATATCAACCAATTGTAAGATCCCACTGCAGAAACAGGGAGCTTTGAGGGACCTCAGTGGCTGAGGCCCCCAGAAACCTCGACTCACACCACTAACCACGTAAGAAGAAAAACACAAAACATGAAAGTGACACCTTTCCCTTGGAAACTGCTTTACCCTTGGCATCCTCAGCAGCCAGAAAAATCATATTGACCTTAAATGATGACATAACTAATATTACAGTTCCCCAGTGGTGTAGTTTGCTGGGTGATCCTTTAGACGCCAATCACAGTGAAGTTGTAGTTTAATATCTATTAGTGAAAGATCTCTGTCTGTCAGCCAGACAGCTCTCAATCTTAATCCAGCCTCCAGAGAGAGCCGAGAGTAGGAAATGCGCCCTTTCACCTTCATTTATTTATAGATGGCAGAAATGAGGTCATTATTTCTGCAGCACCATTTCACAAAACATGCATATCTGATCCATTTGTATCTGTGCAACACGGCTCAAACATGAACTGGAAAGTCCGGGCTGGCCCCCGACTCTGCTGCTTCACCACAGGCTGGGAACATGCAGGGACGAGCTCTCAGTGTCACTGCCAGCCAGCCTGGGGACAAGGTGGATGAAAAGCACGACCGAAGCAGGCTGTGCTGCCAGCCAGCTGCTGTTTTAGAAATTCATAACGTGCTCATCCTCCTTCCAGACCCCGTCGCCATCCTCATCCTGCCGCACACGCACGCAACGGAGCATGCACGGCACATCCGATGTCACGAGTGCGCCCGGACTCAGCCCTCTCCTGGCGAAGAGGGGGTAGGAAAGAGTTGGGGAGGGATGGGGTAGGGGTATCCGGGGGCCACATCCCGGGGCCCTTCTCCCAGCACAAAGTTCCTCCCACACACACAAAGCATCCTCCTCCAGCCAAATGGCAGCATCTTCCAAACAGCAGCAGCCGAGACCACAGAATCGTATAGTATCATAGAACGGTTTGGTTTGGAAGGGGCCTTAAAGATCATCTTGTTCCAACCCCCGTGCCATCAGATGATTAATTGTTGGAGAGGGGGGGAATTTAAAGACAAATTAATTAAATCTTTAGAAATATACATTTGAAATTATTGCTTGCATTTTGGCTTTGCTCCCGCTCTCCAGCCCACCGCCAGCGATGGTTGGGAGGGGGGAGACCCGCACGCCGGAACGGCTGCCCCCTCGGTCGCCCCCCGGTTCTGTCATTGCTACTGTCAGCCCCGCATCCCGCCCCCCCGCCTCTCACGACCGTACGTGCCGTGCCGCAGCCGAGCCGAGCCGAGCCGAGCCGTAATGGCAGCGCCGAGCGGCGAAACGCGGCGGCTCCGCTGCGCCCTCCCCCCGCGCCGGTGCGGCTCCGCGGGGCGCAGCGAGAGGCGGGGATGCGGCTCCGCGGGGCGGGATGCCGAGGGGGGATAGGCGGGATACAGCCGGGGTGAAAGGGGCACGAAATAGGGGGGAAAGAGAGGGCTGCAACGCGGCGCAAGGGAGGGATGCAATAGGGCGGCTTTGGGGCTACAACGGGGGTACCCAAAGGCTGAAAGGTGGCTACAGTGGGGGCGTGTAAAGGGACGTCAACGGAAGCTCAAGGAAGGATGAAATAGGACCGTAGTGGGGGTACAAGTGGGGAATGTAATGGGACTTCCATGAGGGTACAAGGACGGTTGCCACAGGGATGGAAGGGAGGCTGCAATGGGGGGCTGCAGATGGGGTATAGTAGGGGTGAATATGGGCTACGAGGTGGCTACAGAGGGGGGATGTGAAGGGACGGCAGTGGAGGTGCAAGGGGAGGGTGCAGTGAAGCTGCAGAAGGAGCGCAAGGGGAGAAGTAATGAGGCTTCCATGGGAGGGAACAGGGGTGGAAAGGGGGGTGCAGTGGGGGGATGCAGTGGAGCTGTAATGGTAGATGTGACAGGAATTCAGTGGGGTGGCAGGGGGGATGCAACTGGACTGCAGTGGGAATGCACGTGGTACATAACTGGGATGCAAGGTGGGATATAAAATAGGGATATAAGAGGGATGGAAGAGGGTCTACAATGAGGTGCAAAGGAGGGGATACAGAGTGGCAACAGAGGGATGTGATGGGACTTCAGTGGGGGTGCAAGGGAGGGCCGTAGTTGGTTTAGGGTGTGCAGGGGGTACAGTGGGGTATGCAGTTACAGCAGGGATACAACAAGGATGTATGGGGGTATGCAAGGGACACACAGCAGGGATTCAAGGAAGATCCAATGAGATTACAGAAGTTATACAATGGAGTTGCCATGGAGATGCAACAGGGATAAAAAGGGGAATTTGATAATGGCAGCAGCAGGGTTACAACAAAAAGATACAAGGGTGGATACAACAGGGGTTACAACAGGGAGGTAAAGGGGATGCAATACAACTGCCAGGGAGATATGAAGGGGAATGCAGTGCTGCACCCCACAGAGAGACCTCACAGTCCCCTTGCACAAGGCCTGGGAGCAAACACGGGAATGGGGAACGGCTGTCCCCTTCCCAGGTCCTGGTGTGGGCTGTGATCAGAGAGCACGGAGATCTGCCCTGTTTCCTGTGGAAAGGGCACAAAGGTTAAAATCAGAGCATCCCACTGATAAAAGTCCTATTTCCCGTATAAGAGTAAGTCTGCCATTTAGGTTACAAGCCTGTTATCTGCTCTCTCTTCCCAACAGATGACACTGCTTGCTCTCAGGAGCTGCATTTCAACCTGCATTTAAAATCTACTCTGTTTTTTTCTTAAAACTGCCACCTGAATCCTTTTGCTATGAGCAATTTACATTCATTCCCCTTGGGTCATATATCAGGCTGGTGCGTACCTTTAGGATATGCCAAAAAATATGAGAAAACTTAATTAAATTGGAAATGAGATCAGCTCCTGAGTAAATGCAAATTGGGTCAAATCCTCACCCCACCTGTGCTTTGATAAAGGATGTCCCTTTGGTCTGCCCGGCTGGGAGAGATGAGATAACTGGTATAAATGGCTTTCCAGGTCAGAGTTTACTGCAATAACCATAAGCTTTTGATAATATGAGCTGTTAGAAGAGATTATAACTAAAATCAAGGGGTTTAGGTGGCCTGGTGAAGGTGAGGCACAGCCTGCTTTGGGTTTTCTTTAAAGAGCTTCCCAGTCAAGCTGGGCAAAACAAAGCTGAGCTTCCGCTAAAGTGACCTAATCGGACATGGGAGGTACTTCACAGGCCTCCAAGCATTGTTTATAGTCGTATTTGTTTGTTCAGCTTTCTTGTGCCTGGCCAAAGGCTCCCGTGGGACACGTGCAGGGCAGCGCTGACTCACTCCAGGGATGGATTACCCACACCATGGCTATTCCAGGCCACCTGCTGGGAAGTCCATGGAGATAGTCATGGCAAATTATGGCTCTTAAAATAGCTGAAGCAGAGACGTGCAGTGGTTTTATGTTGAAACATGGCATGAGCCAGCCGGGGAACCTGCTCTTGCAATCTCAGCGTGCAGCCACAGGGAAGAGTCATTGGGAGACTCCTTCACTGGCGACGGGGAAAGGAGGGATCATGAGGGCTCTCCCGAGCCAACCACCATTGGGATGAGACCACAGCTTCAGCAGGTCACAGCGCTGGTGAGGCAGTTTGCAGTGCTCTGGTGACTTTGCCAGGCAGGGGCTGATCCTCCGTCCCAGCAAAGTGGAGGAGACCTTGGGCTCTCCGGATGCCATGGGGGGCTGTGGGGAGAGTGCAGGGCACAGCTGGGCTCCCTGTCCCCACAGGGAGCAGATGAGCTTCAGGGGGAGCCCCAGCAGCTCCCTGAGCACCTCCTTAGGACCCTATAAAGCCATGTTTGGGGTGGCTGCACTGTGGCAAGCCAAAATTAAAGGCCAGTGCCTGCACTGACCTGCCCCATGAATTTTGTTTCTCCTCTCAGCCCACAGACACAACTCATCACACAGATGTGGCAGCTGGTGAGGATCGAGTCACCCCTGCGTCACCCCTCAAGGCTGCTGGCATTTTGGAGCCCAGTGCCAGCTCTCCTGGCCCTCAGTGGAAAATTACTTATTCCCAATGCCAGGGTCAGAAGCTGGGCTTCCCACCAGCACAAGAGCACAACCTTGATGCTGTGAGCAGGATGTAGGATGACCACAACAATGACTTATGATCCAGTCATAAACAAAATGTCTCCCTTTATCAGAGCAACCGCAGGATAAAAAAATTAAAAATAATCAGAATTAGCTGTCCCATGGCAGAAACCAGTAAACGAGACTTTCATGTAAACAGTCTTGTTTTCCATAGGAAGGTGGAAGCTCTGGCTGGAATCAGGGCAGGGTAGCTATGGAGAACTCCAGCTTCTGCCTCACCAAGCTGAGAAGCAGTATTGCTCCACCAGATGAAAAGTTTCCATATTATTTCCCCCTGCTGGGTGATGAATCCCCAGGGCACATGGTGAGGCTGTTTGTAATCATAACAAGTGACGGCACACTGCCTTGGTGAGGTGAATCATCTTCCCAGGGTGAGGAGTCCCCATGTATTTCCACTCACGTGGTGGTGGCCCTGTGGCACGATGCCACGAGCAATCCCCAGGGGACTGTGGGCACGGGAGAGCGCCGGGGCAGGCGGGTGCCCCAGAGCCCACCGTGGGACCTTGCCACGCCCAAAGCAGTGTGAGACTTTAATAACATACAGCTACCAAAATTCACCCCTCAGGACAGGGATAAGATCTTGGATCGCTCCAGTTTGCAAACAGCAGCTCCCAGTGAGCACAGGGGTAAATAACTCCTCTGGGCACTGCTTTCAGTAGCTGCCCTGTCGCTCTTCAGTGGCTTCGTTGCACAACCTGGGACAAACACATGCCCCCACCTTTTAAAACATCATAAAGCTAGACCTACTTTCCGTTTAATAGCTTTAAATAATACTTTCTTAACTCTACTGAAAGTTAATGCATATATTACACACATTTTAATTACATCTTTCCCTGCTAACAATGCAGGTGTACTTAATGTCACAAAACCTGCTTATTTGGTGGCTGCAATGTCTTTCTGGAGGGATAACTTCAAAGCCTCATCTCCTCGTCACGCATCAAAGCCTGTATTTCAGATTACCGTGTGCTGCCCTACAGCTCAGCTAAACGGCTTCATTCAAGAAACTGAAAACATGATGAGGCATTTTTCCTTGCACTGCCTTATAGCAGGCAGGCTGTCACGCTTCAAGCCACTAGTTGAACAATGCTGACGTGTGAAGTTGAAAAAGAAAACCCTATCAGAGTCCTGGATCAGCAAAGGGATTATGCCGTAAGAGTAATTAAATAGAACACGTACCTTCCAGAATTATAAATAAAAATTAAGCATCAAAGAATTGATTCAAAACATTCCATGTATCTTGCACACCAAATGCTTTTACCCTCCATTACTCGAAAATTCCAGACGGTCGTTCCAGGACTCTTATTGCCATTACATTGGCACTGAAGCCGCTTCCCGAATGACCATATTTGGTCTGCAGCCCAGCTATGAACTTCAGAAATACGAAATGGCCCAAGTGCTTTGCTACTTATTAACTTGAAATTCCAGGAGACCGAGATAAAATACTCTGCCTCATGGTTGTGATGAGGTCACCAAGAAACCAAAGGTCATTTCATTTGTCCCAAAGAACCTACTTTCTTGATGATGCTGGTGACTTTGGGGTTGGTCCTTTCTGGTCCTTCCCTCACCACAGCAGATGTAGACAGAGCTGCAATTTGGGTAAAAATGGTAAAAATCAAGAAACACAAAACACCTTAAAGCCTGGTATGTGGAAGGGGAAGCCCAGCTCTGGAAAACAGAGCTGTGGTGGCACCTGGAGAGAACCAGTGTGGCAGTGCTCGTCCCCACACTGCCCCCTTGCACCCAGCATCACCTCTGCCTGTTCTGCCTGTGCTTCCCTGGAGCCACATGCTCTCCTTCAGGGGGACAGGCTAATGGGGCTGTTTAGTGGGGCAGGAGGGGCACCTCAACAGACCAGGGCTCAGGCAGACTGGCCCAGCCTTTGCACCCTTTGTAGAAAGGACACAGCAGCACTGGTAAACCCAGCAGTATCAAACCCCTGACCAGCACAGACACCATGTCTTGCCCACAGAGGAGAAATGAAGCTTCAGCAGAGTCCCAGGGTGAACTCATACCCCATAGGTGCTCCCCCCCACTGAACACCCCGTGAGTCACACGGTGCTCCAATCCCAGAACAGACTTCCTCTGCCAGAGCAGGAGGGGATGTAGGCTCATCCCCCAGTGTCTGCCTGCAACCCTCACAGAAAGGCACAGGAAACCTCAGAGATCCTCTCAGTCCATCTCTGCCAGGAAAAACCATTTTGTGGGTGACCCAAGGGCAGCCAGGACTGTGACCAAAAGGAAGAGTCTGTGCCTGAAGGCAGAGGAGGAACCCCCACATCACTGACAGCCCCTCGTACCCCACTGTCCCATGGGGACCCTAAGCAGGCACTTACACAGGGACACATCCTGCCATCCATCCCACAGCACCTTCTTGGGAGCAGAAAGAAGATGGAGGGCTGAACTGCTGCTCCAGGGGTAGCAACACACCAGCCACAGCCCCCATGCCCAGTGGGTGCTGTCAGCAAAGCCCAGCTGAAGGACCCTGGGCAGCACCTACTCACTGCTCTGAGCTCTTGCCCAAACAGCTTTGGCATTACCTTCTGTCTCATCACCTGCCTCTCCCCTGGGAGGAGGGAGAGGCTGAGGAGGGGCTTTATTAAGGAATGTCCCACAGGTGCTGCTCACCTGACATCATTCCATGTAGGGACAGAAACCCCAACCTATGTTGGTTTCAGCAGCAGCTTCACCCTCTTGTGCAAGAGCAGGGCAGGCCTGAACTGTCAACGTTCATGCACCATCAAGGCTGTTTTATGGTTTGATAAGGAGCAAAGGAAGTGCAGTAAACAGGGAGATAAAGCAGTGCAGAAAGGAATGTGAGCTCCCAGTGTCCCCCCAAACAGGTCACCTGGCCGTTGCCTGTCCCCCTGATAATGCCTGAGGTGGAGGGGCAAGGGGAGGCTGATAAGCCAGGGGCCCTGGGGACAAACATGGCACTGATAGACGCGGTTCAGGGTCACAGCCTTCATGGGCACCACAACAAACATTTGCTCTTTGATGCCAGGGTAGCCAAAGCAAGCCTCATTTTGGGATCAGCTGCGGGTTTTGATGACTCTGACCCCGAGGCTGCAGCTGCTGTCGCAAGCCCTTAGCTCAGGCTGTGCTTTCAGGAAGGTCAGGAGGGAGATTTACGATGCCCAAGACCTTCATTTTCCCTCCCTCTTCATTAGTTTTCTCCAGAGCCTGTCCTGCCCTGGGCCAGCTCACTGGAGACCCAGCGGAGAGGAAGCAGCGCCCAAGCTCTGTTATTTCGGAGGGTCACATGCCCACTTCCCCAGTAGCTGGGTTGAGTAGCAAACACTGGGGCAGCACACTGGCATGTCCCTTGCTAGCAGCCAGTGCTCCAAATCCCTGTCTGGCCAAAACAGATTTGTGGTGCCCATTCCAACGTCTGCAGCTCCAACACTCCCTGGAGAGCTGCAGCTGCCACCCCAGCAAGACCTGGATCCCACTGCTTTCAGCTGTGCTGCGTCTTTGGGAGCCCCTCCATGAACTGCATTTTGTGCCAGCTCCATCTGAGCCTGTTCAGTTGGTTCAGACAGTGTTGGGAGCTGTGTGCTGGTGCCTCTGGATCAGACCTGCATGGGTGGCCATGTGAGCAGGGCAGTGGGGTGCAGGCTGTGTGGCTGTTCCCAGAGAAAGGAAGGAGGATATGAAAGCGCCCTGTAAGCATAGGGAGAAAAATCCAAGATGCTTAAAGATGTCATTTAGCTTGACCTCTTATTATACCTCCTGCCATTATACTTGGTTGGGGGCCAACAAATGTGTCTCTGTCTGAGGGCTGACATGTGGCAGAGGATTAAGGGAGGGCAGGGGGATGGTTTCCCTGCAAAAGCCACTTTGGGTGACCGAACCATCCCACCTGCAGCATCCTCACTCAAGTGCTGTTTTAGCCAAACTCATGTCTGCCCTTCCACCACACAGCACAAGCCAGACCCACGTGCACAAACCAAGACTGCTGTGCTGGGAACACCTGGCCAGGAGTCTGAAGGACAGTGCTGGGGCATCACGTATCTTCCCATGGCTGCCTCTTCCAATGGGGCTTCTGGTGCCCTCCAGAAACCCCTGCTGCTTCCCAGACCCTTTCACCATCTACCCCATCCATCTCCTGATCTTGACCTCTGGCCTGGACTGGCCCAGGGAGCCTGGTCCTGGCCCAGCACTGCCTGGAGTGGTCCCAGCTAGTGCTCAGTCATGGCAGGCATCCCACAAGGGGTGTCTCTCTGTGGGGAAGGATTCTGAGTTCTGGTGGAGCAGTTGCTCTGCCAGGACAGGGAGGTTGGCTCAGCAGAGCCACTTTTCCCCCCAGGCAGAAGTTCAAAGTCTCCATGCTGCTCTGTGCTGGGACATGGAAATGAGGGAAAGGAGGAAATGGTTATTCCTGGTCGTGATGGATACAGCTGACTGCTCAATCTGATCTCCCAACCAGCTGCAGAGGGACGGGTGCATAAACACACACACGTACATATTTATAGGCGCACTCGCAGCAACTCATTTTGCCCAAGTCCCTCAAGATGTTGCTCCTCTTCTTACTTTCACTCTTCAATTTCAACCCATCTCTGAGCCTAAAACTTTGCTCCTTCAATGTGAGGTCTTTTGGAGAAGCTAAAATAGCCAGACCTGAAGTCGTTGATGCCGTGGTAAAGGTACGTTCGTTTGCTTGGATGAGACAGACATTGAGTTTTCTGAGGGTTTCTTAGCTGTGGAATCTTGAACTTTATTTATCTTTCACTTTATTTTTCTTTTCAAGTGAAAAAATGAGTGCATAATTTAAAAAAAAAAATACTCTGAAAGTAAAAATCAGCCTGTGGTTGAATAGGATGTTTGCTGTTATTTTAGCCTGCGTGAGAATATAACAGAAACAACATTTGCTGTTTCCTTTGGAAAATGGAGTTAGGAAAGGAGGAAAACCTCAGTGCTCAGTAAAAGTAATTTTCACTTCGAATCCACAGAGCTTTGTTTTGTGATACATTATTTGCCTTCCTTATGTGCTAATCATTCTGAAATATTCTTGTCTAATTAAACCTATTCTCAGGACAGCAGAGAGTATCTGTCATATTAGAGTCTGGTACAAATCCGAAAAGCCCAATTGCTAATTTATGTGAGCAAACCCTCACCACCAGGCTGCCTCTGCAGCAGCTGAAGATAACTCTGCCTTTTAAAAGAACCACATTTTAGACTCTTAGCTTTTGCAAGTGCCCTCCAAGATGCCACAGTAAGGGAGAACGTGGTGCTCAGCATTAGTGGGATGGCTGTGTGTCCTGAATGGCACCAACAAGGAATGGCACCACGTAGTTGGGTGTTAATACTTTGATTGCAAACTGCCAGAGAAGAGGGGGTTGCGTGGGCTTTGCATTTGCAAACTGCTCTTCTTGTACTGTCATCACTGTGGGCAATATCTACTAAATTATGGGTAATTTAGGTAATTATGGGTAAGTTTCAGGGGGCAGAAAGGGGCACTTTTTTCCTGACAGAAATCACCCACAAAGTTTAAAGAACGATGAAACCAGGGGCAGAGAGAAGCCTCTGACCATGCTGGGCTGAGCGTGAACTGGGCTTTCCCATGGGGAATCCCAACAGCAGCTGCAGGAGCTGAGCCCTGCTGTCCCTCTGAGCTGTGCAGCCCTGCTTTCAGAGAGGAGGTTGCTTTGGGCCCCAGGGGCTATTTCAGAGGGTCTGCAACAGACTGGGGCAGGTGAGTGCTGACCGTAGGGAAAGGGGGGTGGGCAGGGGCAGCCCCCCAGCAGTGGCAGGGGGAGATCAGGCTCATGGCAGTGGCTCTTGCTGCCCCTTCCCCTCCACACTTCCTCCTCAGGGGCACGTGCAGAAGTTTTTCACTAAATCTGAAACCACTCTGCTCCTGAGTTTCCTCTCCCAGCTCATGCTGGGGTGTGCAGCTGCTCAGAAAGCAGAAGAGCTTCACTCCAGCCACTGCTCCCCTCCCATGATCCCAGGCTGAGTGCCACTTCTTCCACAAAGGACTTCCCCCACACCAGTAGCCACTTCTTTCTAACCCCTTCCTAATCCTCCAAAACCCACCACATGTGAACTTCCTCCTGCTCCTTCCCCTTGCAGATCATTTCTCGCTGTGACATCATGTTGCTGATGGAAATAAAGGACAACAAGAACCGTGTTTGTCCTCTCCTAGTGGAGAAGCTCACCAGGTAGGGTGGCCAAGGGCAAATGGGCAAATATTGGGAAAGATGCTTGGCAAGAGCCTGTGCTCTGCTCAGTGCCACCCTGCTGGGTGGCAAAATCTTAGGATTTGGGCTCTGTCCCAATGTCAAGGAAGGACCAGGCTCTGGCAGTCTCACTGAGGGACAGGGGCAAAGCCAGCTCCAGACCACTGTAGAACACATTTTTAAATCAGTATAACCAAGTTAGATTCAATTTGCTACAGATTAATTCCCAAAGGAAAAAAGAAGAGAGGAGAAATGACCTCACCAGGCTGGTGCTGCAGCAGGACAGCCACCTGCCTGCGGGGCTGGGAATTGCTTTAGATTAGGGATTGACAGCCTGGAGTGACAGTCCAGACAAAACAGCAGCGTTTGGCTGGCTGGACGTGAGACCCAGCTGAAGGAGAGACAGAGGCTGCAATGAGCAGGGAGAAGGGTCCAGCTCCTGAGAAGGGCTTAGTGTCTTTACCCACCTGCCTCTGAGGTCAGGCAGGCAACACACCCTTGGGCACAGGCAAAATTACCTCCCTCTCAACCACTTTTGAGTGCAGAAATGAACTCAGGATCACCTCTTTCCTTCCAGCCAGCTAGAAGAGCCAAAGGATGAATACAGGTGCATTGCCAGCCAAAGGCTGGGAAGGAACAGCTACAAGGAGCAGTATGCCTTCATCTACAGGTGAGTGAGGCCCCTTGCCGACAAGCCAGCCCTCATCCTGCCCTCTGGGTCACAGTCCCACAGAGACAGGCTGGACATGGTGGTGGCTTTGCTCTGTGGGAGCTGGAGATGTGCAGGCTTTGTGGGTGGGATGGGCTGTGCCTGGGTGTGGGGATCATCCCAGACACAGCCACCAGTGCTGCTGTATCTGTCCCAGACCATGGCCCAGGGTCTGGGTCCGAGCATGGAGTCAGTGTTAGACAAGTCCCAGCGAGCCACAAGTGTGGCATTCCCTATCCTGTCCATTCTGCTGCAGGCAACATCTGGTATCGGTGAAACAAACCTACCAGTACCCTGACACCCAGCCTGGGGATGAAGATGTCTTCTCCAGGGAGCCCTTTGTCATCTGGTTCCAGTCTCCAAAAACCGGTGAGATGTTTCAGAAACATGTCATTGTCCCACTGGTGAGTCATCAAGGCAACACTGGCTGGACCCAGGCATGTCAGGGGAAGGCTCCAGGGGCCACACCCAGACCCCATGCTGCTTTTCCTTCCAAGAGCAGCATTTTGCCTTTCTGGGAAAGGCCACAACCCCAGGAAAGCCTCTGCTGCTGCAGGCAGTGGGCTGGTGGATGCACTCCCTGCCTCTGGCACGGCCCGGGAGCAGTGATTGCCACGGGTGCTGGATCAGGGTTTGCCTGCACTGGCACAGCATCTCAGGCTCAGCTGAGTGCCTGGAGGGGGACACTGTGCAACCACACAGAGACTGCCCCTGGTCCACAGTCGGAACAGAAACTTCCTCAGAAAAAAAACCACCCTTGCTTCCAAGTCAGTCTCTGTTTCTTTGTGACTGATTCTCTGTTTAACCATTACATTTTTTCTGTTCTTCTGCCTTGTTTTTAAGCTGTCAATGAGTTTGCTATAATCCCTCTGCACACCACACCAGACACTGCAGTGCGGGAGATTGATGAGCTCTATGATGTGTATTTAGATGTCAAACAGCGCTGGAAAACCGAGGTTGGTTGCTACATCTGTGTTACTAGCAGGGCTTTGGTAGAGTCACCTGGCAGGCTATTCACTATTCACACCTGATAATCTTAAATCCACTGATAATGAGACCCAGGTTTTGAGTATCTCTTTGATGTATTTTCGCTGAATTCTCCATATTTGATACAGTAAACTCGATCTCCCAATAAGACTGTTATCAGCATGCCCTGGTGTGCCCAGCAGAAAGGAGAAGTCCCACTGCACTCAGAGAGTGGCTGCTGTTAGAGCTGTAATGGCTACTGGGAGCATCCATGGACCTTAGAAGTCCTTGTCAGTTTTCTTTTGAAGAGCTGTCCTCATGGTAACTTTGGAAAACCTCCTACCTTCCAGAACTTCATCTTCATGGGAGACTTCAATGCTGGATGTAGCTATGTTCCCAAAAAGCAGTGGAAGAACATCCGGCTGAGGACTTACTCCGAATTCATCTGGCTAATTGGTGACAAAAATGACACGACAGTGAAGAGCAGCACGAGCTGCCCATATGACAGGTAAAGGGCCACTGCCAAACCAATCACTGGTTATGACTCTCTGATTAAAAAATATATCAAAAGGTGTCAGTAACGGACAGAGAAAACAAACATACATGAGGCCATCAAACAGTGTCCAGGGGAAATGTGATCCAAATGCTTCTAGTCAGGAGCACAAAGCACTTTGCAGACCTGTTGGTGAGTAGGTTTGGAGAACAGGCAGGATTCCAAGCAAGAACCAGCTCTGGCTCAGGTGGGGATAGATGGCAGGCCATTCAGCAGCACTTTTCATCCCCAGGGAGCTCTGCAGACACCTGGAGGAAGGTGCTGCTGCCTGTTCTGTGCCAGCTTTGCACCATGACTTTGGCTCTTCCATTTGTAATTTGGATTGACAAATGCAAAGCCAGGTTCTGCCTGGGGAGGGGACACCTCACCTTCCTCTGGCATGTGGCAAGTCCTGCTGCCACTGCAGTTCCCTCAGCAGGGACAAAAGATACATCAGCTGTTAGAGCCCAGAGTCCTCTTGCAGAATGAGCTTCTGGATCTAAGGAGGACTTCACTGAGACTCCAGTCATTGGTGTCCTGTGTGTTTTGTATCCAAAGCAGGGCTTTCAACTTCCCAGCACTGTTAGGTGGGTTTAGACAGAAGCCATTTGACATTGGCTTCCAAGAGCAATGCATGCCAAGATATTTAGATGCCTCGCTGCCAAGGAGGCACCTAAAGGAACTGGCATGTCTGAGTGGGAAGCCCATGGGTGAGGACAAACAATACAGCAGGGCAGTGTGGCTGCTGCTGCTCAGGCACCTCATCACAGCACCCCATTCCCTTGATCCTTGCAGGATCGTAGTCAGCGGACAGAAGCTCCTCCAGGCTGTCGTGCCACATTCTGCCAACATCTTTGATTTCCAGAAGGACTTTCAGATGACTGAGGAGCAGGTAGGCACAGCACAGCCTCTGCAGCAGCGGGGCAAGGGCTAACACAGGAGTGCAAAGCCAGTGGTGTCCAGGCAGTTCTGAACATGGTCCTGGCCATAAAACTGCTGCATCTTCCCAAAGTAATGCAGTGCTTGCGTTGCACCTCCCCACATCCATATCCCACCCGGGACAGGGCTGGGAGAGAGCGGGAGTGTCCGCTCCCAACCCTCTGTGCCCTTGTCTTGCAGGCACTGGGAGTGAGCGACCATTTCCCAGTAGAGTTTGAGTTAAAAGCAAAAGGTGGCTTCTTCAACTGGCTGAGATCAAAGTTTTCAAGGAAGAGGACGCCAAGGAAGAGCCGCCAATCAAGATGATGATGATGATGCTGAGTCCTCATCCATGGCATGGAAATACACAAATGCCAACAGATCTTGTAGAACACTCGTGTAAATATACTCACAGCAAGTGGAACACCCCCCACCACCCCCAAATATTTTGTTAAAGTTCAAATATTTTGGGTGAGAAGGCAAAATAAACCTTCAGGTTATTTTCTTATTTTCTGTATGCAGAAATAAACCAGCTAGAAGCAGCACACTATACTTACTGTACCTGTTGCAAATGTAAGGAGCTACTGCAAGGGTAAAATGCTTCCATGCGCTTTACCTGCAACACCTGAAGGGCAGGGATCTCCACACATTCCTGTGGGCTATGGAGCTCTGCCACTCCTCTGCAGGGGCAGAAGAATTAAAAGGGCTTTCTGCATCTTGTGTGTGTGTGTGTGTGCAGCTCAGAGCTGCAGCCAGCAGGAGTCTGTGCCCTGGTGGTTTGCAATGAAGGATGTTGCTGAATTTAGAGTATTTCTCGGTGGGGGTTTGAAACTGCTCGCAGCATTGAGGGCTTGGGGAAAGACAGACATTAAAGACAGAGCAGCAAGGGCCCCTTTTCTGCACTCCCTCAGCCCAGAGCAGCAGGAAGCTGGTGGTTCTCACCCCTGCCTGCCCACCTGCAAACCTGAGACATCCTGTGGATCCCAGGTGACTCTGCTGCCAACTGAGTGTCATAAAATTCACATTTAAAATCTGATTTCAGCATCCTGACATGGAAGTGAACTGCATCTCCCCCTCCAAAATAACCCCTCTCCAATGCAGCTTGAAGTCCTCCAACGAACCAGATTTTAATGACGATTATTTAACGTAGTGGTGCAGCAATCTGTTTTCCTAGCTCAGCCCACAGGCTGTATTTAGTGCAAACCAAACCCTGTCACACAGATGGCATCCGAAAAGTGGGAATAATCCAACTGTTAGTAGAGGCAAATATTCATCTCCCTTCATCAATGAGCCCTGGCTTGCCTGCTGAAGGGGCAGGGAGGGCAAGAAAGCAAGAGGGGCTTTGTGAGGAGGAAAACAGTTTGGCCTTTGTGAAACTGTTCAGTGAGAAATGAATTTGAAGAAAGAAACTAAATCAAGAGAAAATGATCCCAAGGGGGTGTGTGCAAGGCAGACAACAAATCCTCCAACTTTCAGTAGCAATTAATTTGAAATCATACAGCATTTCATAAGCTCCCTCGATTATACTGCGGTCAAGGCAAAGGAAAGAGCCTGATTTAGAACAAATATTTACACTGAGATTTTTATAGAGATGCCACTGTCTGGCTGACAGCAGTGATGGCTCATGTGAAGGCTGAAGTCAGCCTGAGTCTCTGGCCTCATGTCTTGCTCCTACGTAAGTCCCTTCTGTCTCTTGGCTTTCAGAAAGGAACAGTGCACAAAGGAATAAATCACGCTCCAGGAAAGCCATAATGGGCACATTCAGTCATGAAAAAGATGTAATTCTGACTAAGTTTTACTGAAAATATTTGTCCTTATTTGCAATGCTGAATACAGTCCTTTACCCAGCCTTTGAAGATAAGAGTTGTAGCCAGAGAGCAACCTTGGGAGTGATGTCAGTGCCTGTTGGTTTGGAGCTGTGAGCCGGGTTTGACTGGGATAGTAGCTGGATGGAGCTGTGTTTTGGATTTGTGCTGAAAACCTGTTTGATAACACAGGGATGTTTTTGTTACTGCTGAGCAGCACTTACACAGAGTCAAGGCATTTTCTGCCACTCACCCCACCAGTGAGTTGGTTTGGGATGCACAAGAATTTAGGAGGAGACAGCAGACCACCACTGACACAAGGGATATCCCATGCCATATGGAGAGACAAGCTCAGCACACAAAGCTTGGGGAAGAAGAAGGAACAAGAGGACGTTCAGAGTAATGGTGTTTGTCTTCCCCAGTAACCATTACGTGTGATGGAGCCCAGATTTCCTGGGAATGGCTGAACACCTGCCTGCCCATGGGAAGGCAGTGAATGAATGCCTTGTTTTGCTTTGCTTATTAAACTGTATCTTTCTCAACCTACAAGTTTTCTCAGCTTTGCTCTTCCGATTCTCCCCCCCGTCCCACCTGCGGGGAGTGAGTGAGCGGCCGTGGGGCTGAGGTGTCAGCTGGTGTTAAATCACATCAACCTGCTGTTGCAGAGATGCTGAGCATTTGACCAAGAGAGACAGCTTAATACAAAATGATGCTCCCCCATGGAGAGCTGGGACACAGTTTTGTGGAATTCACAGCAGAGAGACAGCATCTGCACTCGGATTGTAATGTTTGATAGGGGATGGGAGGTGTCCAAAGCTCCTACTGTCAGCACAGTCTCTATAGATATTCTTGTGTTTACTCCATACATTCATTAGACGTATTATAATTACATCCTAAAATGTTTAACAGTTCATGTCATCTCTAGATTTTCCTCAGTGGGGATCATTACCCAGCTGTTCCAACTGCAAAGGGGTTTTCAAGTTGTTCCAGCCTGCAGGAGCCTCGATATATTCTGCAGCCAGAACAAAGGTTCTCTTTTTGATGAATGAGGCTTCTTGAGCTTAATTTATGATCAAACAGAAGTTTTACACTGTGAATCCAAAATTCCTGGAAAGACTTTATCTCATGCAAGCCAGGTCTCAGATCATGGGAGAGAAACAAAGAGGCTCTTCAGAAACTGAAAACTCTGTTTTCACCCCAGCAGCCCTGGCCAGGAGAGAACACAGAGCAGACAGGGTACAGCTGAGCAAAAAGTGCTGAGATCCCTCAGGTTTGGGTCTTGGGAAGCCCTTCTCCAATGCATGGTGCTGGAGACATCCTCACTTCCTGCAGACCCAAGGTCTCCACTGCCCCACAGAGAGACTTCTCCCAGCCCACAGAAAGTCCCTGCTGCCCTGCTCCCAGGACGGAGCCTGGGCTGCTCCTCACCCTGCAGAAACCCACACAAGGATGGTTTTTACTGCCCTGGGGGTGTGAGTCCCTTAGCAGGGAAACCCCCAGAACCCACAGCAGCAGCCCAAGGCAGGACTGCCTCTTCTCTACAGCCTCCATCATCTCTGCTGGCTTGGTTTGTCCATCTGCACTTTCACCTGAAGAGGGCTCATGTCCTCCTGGCCTCTGAGCAAGGCTCTGCCTACCTCCTTTTGCCTCCTTTGAGCTACTGGCAGCAATGAGCACACAGAAGAGCTGGTATGAGACCCCACGGGATCCTGGCTTGTTCATTCAGGGTCTGTACATCCCCCAGCACAGACTGATGGATCATGCACCGTGACTGAACCTGCAGCATTAGGGGAACATTAAAAAATTATATATAAACCATCATCAAGCAAACATGCTGGGATGTGCTGTTTAACAAACTGAAGGATAGGGGTCAGCTGGACCAGGGGTCATCCCCTTTCTGCACCATGGTAAGTGAACCCAGTTCTAGAGCTCTTTGGCACAGCAATATCCACGTGCAGCACAGCCTCTCTTGTTTCAGTTTACATCCACATTTGTTTTGCTTTCCTGTAAGTTTGTGCATGAATGCACACAGACATGAGCAATTCAAGCCTGAACACCCTCCAGAGCTCCTGCTTCTTCCCCACCACATGGGCGATGGGTGAAGAGAAGGAGGTGCCAAAGCCACCACTGATGGTGTTTGGGCTGGGACACATATACATCCCGTGTCTGGACATCCAGATCACAGAATCAAAGAGTAGTTTTGGATGGAAAAGACCTTTAAGATCATCGAGTCCAACTGTTAACCCAGCACTGCCAAGGCCACCACTAACCCATGTTCCTAAGCACCACATCCTGTTTTTTGAACGCTTCCAGGGACAGTGATTCCACCACGTCCCTAGGTAGCCTGTGACAATGCTTGACAGCCCTTCCAGTGAAATATTTTCCCCAATATCCAATCTAAACCTCCCCTGGTGCAACTCGAGGCCCTTTCCTGTAGTCCTGTCACCTGTTACTTGGGAGAAGAGACCGACTCCTACCTGTCTGCACCCTCTTTTCAGGTAACTGTAGAGTAATAAGGTCCTCCCCAATCTTCCTTTTCTCCAGGTTAAAACCCCCAGCTCCCTCAGCTGCTCCTCATAAGATGTGTGCCCCAGACCCTTCATCAGATGTACACGTGAACAGATGTTTGGCCACGTACAGATGTGCAGCAAACAACTGAGCTGCAGCCCTAGAAAGGCTGTGTTGTGCTGTTGCACAGCGGGGCCAGTAGCACTGATAGCAAAATCAAAGGCAGAAAAATCAAAGAGCCTACCAGTGTGGGATTGCTAAAACCAGCAGTTGGTCCAAGCCCAGCTGCTTCATGGCTCCCTCAGCCTCTGGAGGGATTGTGGGGAGCACTTGGTGCCCCAGGCTGGACTTGGCCACTCACTGACTGAGCATCTGCCTCAGAAAAGGACCAGGAGGGGAGTAAGGCGTCCCTGGGCAACCCAGGGGGAGCTTTTTCTGTTCCCCTGTAGCCCAGAGCTCAGTGGTCCCTGGGCGGGGCTTTTCTCTGCCAAGCAAGTTAGGGAGATGGAGAGCAGGAGGTGAGGACAGCAGTCATCCTTCTCGTGCCTTTATTCAATAGGAAAATAATTTGAAAAATCACTTTTCCCCCCTCCCTCCCTCTACCTATGGGTCGTTAAAAGCATTTGCAAACCTCCGTCAGCCCCTTGCCCAGAATAAGGCGCTTTTCCCTGCTGCAGGGCGCCTGCCCACTCCCCGCCATGCGGAGCCACGCACACATTAAATATTAGCAGAGCCCCCTCTGGTGGCATTGCTGTAAGTCCCAGTGTCCGTGAGAATTCCCGTGAAATTCACACCCAGACCCCTCAGCAAACCCAGCCACGCCGAGGAAGCCGATTTCACACTTAACTGGGAGCTCGTGGATCTGCATCCCCCGTGTGTCTGCATACAGACCTCTTCACTCACTGCAGAGAGCCCGTGGCTGACCCCCATCCCTGAGCCCACCGTGTCTATAAATGAGTTTTGCAACAAAAAGGGAGCACTTCCTTGGCTCCAGGGCTGGTTATTCATTGCCCAGGGTTATTTAACTGGGAACATGCTGCGATGACCTTCACAAGGCAGCCCTGCTTGCAGGCAGTGGCTCCCAGGACCTGGTGCTGGGAGCTTACAGGACACATGTGCCCCAGGGACCCGTTGGTGTCCCTGCCATACCTGCACCAGGAGCATCAGGGCAGCTGGCTTGGTCCAGCAGCAGCCACAGCCTTTCCTCCCTGCCCAGCCCCTCGGGATGTCTTACAGTGACTGCTTCTGCTCTTCGGTGGTTTGTACCAGGTTTTGGGGAAGATGTGAGGCCGTTCTGGCCACCAGCACCACCATCCCTTCTCTGCCACAGATGCCACCAACCCCTTCTCCAGTGCCAGAATCACAGAATATCCTGAGTTGGAAGGGACCCACAAGGATCACTGAAGTCCAACTCCTGGCCTTGCACAGGACAAAAATCAGACCATGTGCCTGAGAGCATTGCCCAAAGGGTTTGTGAACTCTGTCAGGCTTGGTGCTGTGACCACTTTCCTGAGGAGCCTGTTCCAGTGCCCAACCATCCTCTGGGTGAAGAATGCTTTCCTAATATCCAGCCTAAACCCCCCTGAGCTGGGTTTAGCCCACGCTCCTCTCCATCATCCCAAGAGTTCAGGGACACAACCTCTGCACTCTCACCTTGTGTATAATAACCACAAGCACCCTTTCTCTGCAGGCTGGTTTTCAGCTGGTGAGAAAAACAAGGTTAAATAGTTTGTGTGTCATTTTAAATATAATGTCTCAACTGTCAGTGTTTGCAGGGGCAATTTTCTGTTAGACAGGAGACAGATTTATAGGAATTAATTTTCATATTGGCAAAGTAACCAGAAACCTTCCCCGAAAAGCTCTGCAAATGCCGGCATTGAGACATGACCGCTTTTTGTGCCTCTCTGCTGGGAGGAGGGCCTGACCCCAGCCATTTTTGGGGGAAGCCAGATGCAAAATCCCACCCCCCAAACAAAACACCCTAGCTGGATATTTCTGTCAGAAAGAAATACCTCCCTGGCAGGGCCAGCTCCTCCATGGGGCCCGAAGGACTCACAGGCTTCCAGCTCAGCAGGGATGTAAATATTTGCAGTACCAAGGTCCTGCAGAAAGGCAGCTCAGCGCAGGAAAGAGCTGTCAAACATACCTCTGGATCCTGCTAAATCATATTTTCCTATTAATTTTAAAAAAAAATTCATAAATACTAGCCTTTCATTCATGTTATATAAAGAATGTGCTTTAAATTTCAGTCAAATTAATAGCGACAGGAGTTATAAATCCACCCTGATTTAGTGGCAATGTTTTTTCTAAGTGTGCAATATAAATTCACAACCATGAAAATTAACTCTGAAAGTCTGAGAAATTCTGAAAAGCCATTTAAAAGCATTTTCCCAGGAGGCCCTGGGGAAACAGCCCAGCACAAGAGGGGAGACTGGCAGTGGGGCTGTTTTGATAACCTTCAGCAAAAGGGACCTGGGAATATTAACCATTACTGTGGAGGAAGAAATTGCTGTCTCCCTTCCTGCTGCTTTTCCAGCTTGGATGGAGCCGTGAAGATGTGGCATCTCACAGTGGAGGGAGGATGGGAATGGGAGTCACTGTAACACAGAGGAAAATTACTTTTAAAAACAAACCTTTGCTTACAGGACTGTGGGATGCTAAAGGTTCAGGTACCAGGTGGGTTTGCTCCCAGCCTGCCGCAGTACAGCAGGGCTGGGTGCCCTGCTGCACGTCCTGCACCGCTGCTGTTGGCAGCAAAATTCCAAACACTCCTTTGTGCTACTCTGGATGTGGACAGGAGATGTGAAAAACAAGAAAAATAATTTAAAAAAGAAGTTCCTCCAAACTGGCTGGCACAGAGCACAGAATAAACACCTGAGGATGCTGCCAGCAGCTTTGCAAGACCCCATCCCTTGCATGCCAGTGGGTCCAGAGCTGTCCCTGACCTGGCAGAGGCCAAACTGGACAACCAGTTTCATTTGGCTCATGGGAGAGCATGGCACAGCCAGCTGTCATAATAACAAATGGTTTGGAAAGAATCT